GGTACAATTCCCAATGAGAAATGTAATTGTGTTGTATACCTACAATGTATCAATAAAAGAATTAAAAAAAAAAAAGAAATAAGAGAGCAGAAACTAAGTGGCCAATGAAGAATAAAGGCTGCAGAGGGCAAAGACAGAAAAAATCCATGTGTCAGTCTAGGCCAAAGATGACTTCATAAAGGCAATGTGACCTGAATCAAGCCCTAGAAAAAGTAAGACTTTGAAAGTCACAATTATAAGAAAATCCCCCAAAGCATAGGTTCTTCAGTGTTTGAAAGAATCACACAGAAATTTGTTAAAAATATGGATTCCTGGGCTCTATATGAGATTTTGGTAGATCTGATGGGGATTTGGTGATCTGGATTTATAATGAGCAGCTAAATGATGCTCTTGAAAGATTGCTACATAGAGCGCGCCTTGAGCAATGGGGACTGACAAGCTGGCTCACCTAATAGTTTTCTTAGGTGGAAAAATCATATACAGTAATATCCTCTGCAGCACCACCTTCCAGTATTAACTTTTTTACGTACTGAGGCTTCATTTACAAAATCAAATATTCTCTTTTTCCAGTGCATACTCAACCGTATGGATTCTACTGACCAGTTGGATCATACTGTCCATCAAGCCTGGGCCTCAGAGCTACTCCCAGCTTCCCCTTCTGGCTTCCCCATTCCCTGTTAATTTCACTTCACTTCCTCTTCATGAGAAACTTCTTTGCTTGGAGTTTTGTAAATCTGGTCATGCATGTTATGCCTCTCAGTTATGGTCTGACTCAAGTTTCCTAAGACTCGGAGTTATTGGCTTTTTGGGCCAGAGCACTCATTGATGTTGTGGGGGATCCTGGGGATGGCATTTCTTCCTGGCCTCTCCCTATTAGACTGCCAAGCCAGAAATATGTTCAGACATTGCCAAAAGTTCCTTGAGGATGGAGGAGCCTCATATCCCCCAGCGTCCACCCAGAGGCTAAATCCAGTGTTTCTTTGATGATGGCTCTCAAAGCCAGTGATGTAGAAGATGTTGGATGCTTCTCTGTAGACCAGGATTAGCACCTCTTGAGAGCTGAGCTGACCTGCTGGGAAGAACCCCAGACCTGCTGGCCTTCCTGTCAGTGGCCTGTCTCACTTCTCCACATTCCTCAGAATCCCATCATTCACGTTTGTCCATGAGTCTAGGTTTCTGTGTCTGTTCTGGTCTGTCTCTACTAAAACACAGTTATCACTTGACTGGAAAAAGATATGAAGCCATTATAATCTTCAGGAACTTGAAATAATGTATTGGAAGAGGCGTGCTGCACTAGGCAGGGCTCCAAGGAACTGGAGATGAAGACAAGCATTTGAAGGATAAAGTTGGGAGCATGGTGTTTGGCACTGTAAGTAAGATCTCTGTGCTGCTGGCAGTCAGCTCACATTCGGTTCTGGGGCTTTTTGCTCATTTGCAGGGGGTCTCTGGGCAGGTTACCCTGTCAAGTAAAGACAACCAAAATATGGTGGACCCTTGACTTATGAACTCAATTCGTTTCTGAGGGCTGGGTGTAACTCAAATTGGTCAGGGTCCTGTACATAGCCTTCAAAGTCTCTCTCCTGTGTAAAGGCAGATCTGAGTGTCCTAAGAGAGTCATCAGCCCAGGATTTCTCAATTAACCCCACACAGGAAAGGATGTAATAGTGTTCCATCCAGAACTCTTTAAGGGTTAAATCTGTATCTGAGACCATCTGGAACCACAAGCACCTGGTTGGCATTCAGGTGGTAATTCAAGGTTGTAAGTTAAAACTAAAATTCTGGTTGTAGCCCAAGTTGTTCATATGTCAGGTCATTTGTAACTTGAGGATCCATTGTACCTACTTCATTAGATGTTGGAAAGCTTCATGAGAGAATGCATGTAAAGCACTTAGCACAGTGCTTGGATCATAATGATTTATAAATGCTCAATGGATACTGGCTGTAAATTTGATTAAGAAGCAATTCTTTTGAGCAGGTAGTGTTAATCTGGGTTCCTGAACTGTTTTAGGAGTATAGGAAGGCCTAGATGTTGGTACGATGTGCATAAGGAGGAAAAGGAAGAGGCAGGGTTCACAAACGACACCAGATGGTTTGAAAGTGGCAGTGGAGGAGCCAAGGTGTGTCAGAAATGAAGGCAGTGACCAGAAGGCCCGCTTGGTTTGCATACGGATACTGAGGTTAACAGTCCCTCCTCCCTGCACACTTGACCCTTACACAGCTGACATCTTTGTGCTCATTGTGTCCTGCAACACTGCTTATTTCATCTTTAAATCCCCTCTGTGCACAAGTACAAAAGGTTCCAATTATCCTATTTCTGTCATCTCCCTTCAACCCATACAAAAGACTCAAATGCCAAGGAAGTTTAGAAAGCCATGTTTTAAGCAATATCATATGCTTTTATGTCTTTTCATGGTTACTTTTCTGCCTAAGCAGGATTGTGAAATCCCAGAGCAATAAACAGTATGGTCTTTATGTCTCAACTGTGCTGGGTTTTCTACTGGCATGTGGCAAATCCCAACATTATAATGACCAACTTGATGCTGTGAACAGGAGAAGGACATTGCACCCTTCTTTTTGTCTTCCCCTTGGCCCTTCCCCTAACTTTCCAAGGACACAGAAAGATATTAAAGTACACTGATAAAGAGACATTTAATCTGACTTTGTTCTCTTTTTTGAGGATGTCATGGATTGGGAAAGATATCTGCTACCTCAACTGAATCAAAAGATCTTTAGCAGCATTGAAAATTGGCATCCCTTTGTTTTAGCTGGCATTAAGGGACATATTTTCAGAAACCAGTTTTGGATTTGTATTCACTTCTTATGTTTCGTGCTCATAAGTACTGAATAGAGGATGCCACTGATCTCTCTTGTTTTGTTTTGTTTTGTTTTGGTATCGGGGATCAAACTCGGGTCCTTGATCTTGTGAGGCAGGCAGCGCAACCACTGAGCTAAATCCCTGGCCCTGTCTCTTGTTTTGTTTGGTTTCTTTTAGGCAGATCACCTCAAGTGCCTGGTGGCAGGAGCCTGGGAAGGCAGTCAGCAGCACTTTATTCAGAAGTCCGTGCATTCACTGATGGGCTGAGTGATCTTGGGTAATACAGTAACTTCTCTGGACATCTTTATCTTAAAAAGCTGTCTTCATGTTTAGTATTTTACATTGGTGTATGTGTTTAAATAAAATAACTTGTATCATTCATTTGCAGATAAATGAGTGGACACAAAAAATAAACTTTTCTTTTTTTTTAAAATGTAAACACCAGATGGAAAAGAAAGCCAACTTCCAATCAGAGCTCCCCTCTCTCTACACTCAGTTGGATGGCATGTCTGTGCCCCATTCCTTGTCCTCTGTTAGATTTTATTTCAGATGGAAACAGCTGTGCTTTCTCACTGGATGACATTGGCCTTGACAATGTCTGTAAATAGAGTACAGAAAAGAATTTGGCACTGTTTTCACACCCACTTAATTTCCTGATATTATCTTGGTTAAAGGTATGAATATTCAGATTTTTTTAAAAAAAAACATATCCCGACTTTGGCCTTGAATGTAGCTGCAGAATGGAAGCCAACACTGGGAAACCAATCCTTTCAACTTTCCTGGTCGCCGTTTTTCCCTGCTCTGATCTTGGGACCGATTTCTTGGGACTACTACCAAAGGCCAGTCTTTGTACAAAGCCGGAACTTTTCAATCTATTAGAGAAAGGGGCAGAGTGAAGGTGGGTGTGACATATCTCTCTCTCCTATCATGGAATCGGGCACTGATTTTCCTGTAGGTAATGTCTTTCTACCGTCTCACCTTTCTGAACATCAAATATGGTGCCCTTAGGGACGGGGATTTAGCTCAGTGGTTCTGGTGCCTGCCTCGAAAGCTGAGGACCTGAGTTCGATCCCCAGTACCAAAAAAAAAAAACCAACAAAAACTCCTGCCTGGAATATGGTGCCCTAAGCCCACCTCTATCCACCAGACCTCCCTTCTTGGAATTTGAGCTTCAAGAAGAAATGACACAGGGACAAAATGCAGTTATGATTTAAACCAAAAACAGTATCTTGAATTCTGTGCATTATTATTATTGCCATTGTGATTGTTTCTGCACCCTCCTGTGCTTCCCAAGGTCAGCCCCTGAGCTTTTCCTTCACTTTGATGGGCTCTGCACCCTCTCTCACTCTCTGTTACCCTAAGGTCACTTTCTTTTTGAAGCAATATAAGTGTGACTATTCACTTATTTATGCCACAAGTGAATAGTGATACTGAGCTAAGTATAGTAATTCCTCGGTTTGCAAATTGAAGTGTTTGTGAACAATTTGGTTCAAGAACAGAAGCATTGGCAAAATGTTGCTTGTGTAGCAAACTCTGCAGTGGGGGATGACCGCAGCTATCTTCCCCAGGATTGTGGAATGAATTAAGTTCATGAACTGAGGTACCACTGTATTTAGGGTAACCAGAAAGAGGTCTTTTTTGCCTTTATAGATCTGAAAGGAGATAGTTCGACAAATATTTTGATCAGAGGTTTGCATTAGAAAGCACTAAAAATCAATCCAATCAAAAAATCTCATTATCTTATCTTTCAAATACTGTAATCTCCCCCAAACCAAACCAAACCAACCCAAAACAAGACCCCACCTAAACAGAACAAAACAAATCAAACCAACAAAAAGTTCATTACATTTCCTTCTAAATACTATTCCATGTGGGATTACCATCATGGCATAACATCTTTATGTACCTAGGTGATAAAGCTGGGGACTCCATTTTCATTTTCAACATGCCTCATCTGGTCCATCAACTGTATAACCAGCCCATCATTAAATTCTAATGATTATCCATTTTCTTCTAATCAGCTCTCTCAATGCGGCAATTTTCCTCTAAAGCCAAATCTAACCATGCCATTCCCAACTCAGCGTCCTTAAACAGCACTTCCTCTTGACAATATAGTGCCCTCCCCACCCCAGTTCTCGAGATTCCTATAGTGCCAGTCAAATTTACACATAAGAGATTTACAGTGTCAAGTAAACTGGAGAAACCCTAGATAGAACAAAGCTAAACTGTCCCCCCCACCACACACTGCAAAACTCAGAGCTGTAAATTTTCAACATGCAACACGACTCTCTCAGGGAATGTCTACCATGCAATACTTCCCACACTTATTTTTGTGCAGAAACATTTTACTTATTCTGGGTCATAGCTTGGGAAGTGGTATCTGCAGCTGGTATACATAGCGAGAGACCTAATGAGACTAAATTTAAAATATTTTAGCAAAAGAAGATGACAGAAGCAACTTCTCTGGAGTGGACAGGACTCGTATAAGTTTATGTGAGAAAACGAGACAGTGCTGGGTTGCATAGGTGCTAAATCAGGAACAGGACAGCCAGCGTGGCTGGCTGACAGGTGTCAGGGCAAGATCTCTGCACCTCTCTCAGTTTTGACCCATTCCTTTATGAGCACTGGCCAAATAACCCATCTCTCCCCAGAATGACCTTTCACAGCAATATGGCCAAGAACATTGTGCACACCAGTTAGGGAGGTACTTAAATAAATGATTGGCTTGAAATAGACTAAAAGGACATTTATTTAGTTATTTGGCCTTGGGCTTGTTGGGTCTCTGTGAAACCTCATCTTAGTAGGATGAGCTGTAGACAACCTGCATGATTGTTTAGTAAGCACTATAAGAAGAACTATAGTCAGCATGGACAATAATTCACAACCAAGTGGAGGTGAAAATATGCAGTATATGGGTCCACTTTCCACTCCAGCCCTCAGTGGTAGCTGCTTATATCTCTAGTCTGGTTTGTAAACAGATTTCTGAAAGTATTCATTGCCTTTGATGCATTAATTCCCACATCTTCTACTTCCACTTCAGCATTATGTTGCTGAAAATTAAATTAAGTACCAGATATTTATGACTGCATTTGCCTTTTATTGTTTTACAGTCAAAAGGGACCCTTTGATTTGTTATTATTCAACTACACCTATGGAAATCTTTCTGAATTAAGAGCCAGGGTGAACATTTCTGGAAATCAAAATAAAATCCTTAGCCATATATTTAACATCAAAATCATTTTCCACACATGTCAGCTAAACAAATTACAATGTGCTGTAAGCAATGTAGCTCTCACTGCTTCCTTGAAGTTAGAACATTGACTTAAAGTGAAACTAATAAAAAGTTATAAAAGAATGACAGCCTGGGACTCAACTTGGTCTGACAGTTATAATTTTTCTGCTGAAAGTATTTTTAAATATTACAATTCATTGCCAACATTTATCATGTTGTAGGTGTTAAAATTTTAAAAATTTTTATTAGTATGTGTTTACAGTACCTAATGATTACATTCATCATGGAGAATTGGAACATGGACATAACACACCTTCATTCTTCTTATGTCCCATCCCTTCCCCAACATTCCCCTCTCCCAGGGAAAGATTACTCTTGCAGCTGTTGTTGAAGAGAAGAGATTTGGTTTCTGTCTTCTCTTGAAAAAATCAAGACCTAATCCTGCCGATCTCATCGTGTGAAACGAAAACTTGTGCCCCAGCAGAAAAGTGCCTGGAACACTTGGAGGGACCATGCCTTTTCTAGTTGCTCTGCTCCTCACCCCTCTCTGTCTCCTTGTCTACCCTTCCTCAATTATTCCCTTGATGGCCTGCAGGCACTTCTGTCTATAACCCTTTAAGTCACACTTGAGATTGTATCAGCTGGTATGATTATTGTGTCTGGGAGTCTAATCTAAGCCTCCCTTGCTTCTTTTACATTATACAACCAACTTAAACATTTCTCCCCTTGATAGATTTGCAATTTATCAGGGTTGTGATAAATCATTCCCCAAATGAGAATAACAGGTCAATATTTTGAATGTAGTAATAAAATTACATTTCTATTCTAATACATCTAATCAGACTGTCCTCTTCTTAAATGTATGGGACAGAGAATACTTCTACTAACTAAGCCACAGAAAGTACTATATAGCACTAAATTTCTTCTTTAATTTTTAAAAACAAACCCATTTTGATGCTGAATTAGTTCATGTGAGAAATCAGTGTGGCAATTAGTGACATGGTTCAATGCCTCTTCATGTAAATGAACATAAATGAACATAGCACTACGCAAAACTTCTAAGAAGTGACATTCGTTTTAAAGAGGAAGTGAGCATTTGTTCAAGTAGTAATTTTATATTAAAAATTAAATTAAGATAATTAGAACTTTCACATGAAAGGCTACTCATGATATTACAAAGTTATTTATCTACAAACTTAAAATGATTCTCACATACATTTTCAAAAATGGCTCACACTGGGTTAAAGAACTCAGCACACAAGTGGATCATTTTTCTCATTAAAGATGACTTTATAAACAGTTCTGAGGACACTTAGCTCTACAACCCTATTATATTATGGAAGCAAAATGTAAAACATTGTCAATTATTTTATTCCTTCACTACATTTATCCTTGAAAAAGAAGGGAATAAATACTCTTCTTTTTCTCCTACAGAGTTCTTGTATTAGTAACAAGATGTGATTCATGATAAAAGACTACAAAGTCTTTTGAGTAATTGAATGAATTTATAGAGCTATTTTCAGACATGCTATAGCTGCAGATTTCTTATACTTGGGAAGGTGGTCAAGGGAGGATTCTGCCATACTTCAGTGTCTAGTAACTCTATAGTTGTGTTGGTGTTTCTCTTCATGTCAAAGGACATTTTTATGGCAAATACGTTTCTGGTCTCTTTGTTCTCACCACTAAATCACAGAACATTAAATTGTCATAGGAGAATAATCCAAATATGATGCCATGTTTTCCTAAATCATGAAAGCAAGTAATTGAAACATCTGAGTTACTCTAAGGATAGAATGAGAAATTTGTACTTCAGTAACAGCAGCAGCACTGGCAACAACATAAGATTATGATGGCTGCAAAGAGATCAAGTCAAAGTTATAAAGAATTCTGAAATTCGCCAGAGCAGATTCAAGCCCATTTTTCTCCAATTATTTTTATATAACATTAATAATGGCCAATTACCAACTGCCCTGGCTTGTACTTCACGGTCATCTATAAAACATAATAAGCCTGGCCATCTCTGTAGGGGCCACAGGTTACCCCCAAGTGACTTAATTCAGGAAACAAGTATCCGGC